AGAGAGAGAGAGAGAGAGAAAGAAATTTATAATACATTTAAACACTAGTCAATTTAATCAGATACTGACTTGTTTCATCTGAATGTTGATCAGCTTCAGTTATACTAATTTCATCTTTATTTTGCCCTGTTATTATTAATGAATCCATTGATGGATCATAAGAAATATCAGTTCGTCGAGACATTTCATTATGTGATAATGTAGATGGTAATACCATACGAAGAGGTAATGCTATAGTTGATGGTTTACGATTACTTTTAGATTCTTCACCTCTACTTTGTCGTTCTTTTTGTTTTGAAAATAACTTTTTTAAATGAAGAATTTCAATAAGTTCATTACGAAATTGTGCTCCACAGATCATAAGTATAAGTATATTTGATGTTGATGTAAATAATTCAACAATACTACCAAGAAACATTGGTAAAATATTTTCACTTTGTGGTCCATAACATTTATCTGATTGCATGCGAAAGAGTAAACCATGGCATGTAAAAAAATTTATTATATAAGATTGCAATGCACTCATTAAACTTAATAAAATTTCAACTAAAATAAGTGATAATGAACGAAGTTCAGCACGTGAATGACTATGTTTTCGTATTAATGGTCGATTTGATATATAATAAAGACAAATAAATGATGATAGAATACATATAGATGATGGAATAAATGTTCCTATAATAAAGCCAATTGTATAACGATTTTTTAATGACAAACGACGATCATATAAAAATTGATAGAAATTTCGAAACGTTGTAGCTGATAAAGGAAATGAACAATTAGCATAGGCATTAATAAAATGAGCTGTTTGAGTACAATATTGATGTGCGAGAAAATAATCTTGCTCAGGACGTGTCTGTAATAGTGGGTGTGTTAGATTATTTATAGCCAAAAGAAGATATTCTGGTAACTTTTCTGTATCATCTTCTGTATCATCACATTCAGAGCGATTAGCATATTCATCTGGCCAATCAATCGACATATATGACTGAAGATAAACATATGCAACAGTTCGATGACGTATGCGATGCCAATTTTTTCTCGAATGACATATCGGATCAGTACTATTATTCAACGATTCATTTGTCACAGAATATGTTAAATTATGATGATAAGCAGTAGTTGTTGAATTGAATACTAAAATATATATATTTATAAAAAATATCTTTACCAAAAATGAAGAATGTAACATTTAAATATCTATTTATGACAATCTATGATGTGAAAAGATGATAAAAATATATGTATTATAAATTGACATAGAAATGTCCAAGAAATTTTTTTCTGCTTTACCAAATAACAGCATATATATATATAGAAAAGCAAAGTATTCTTGTTTTTTTTATAATACCTGAATTATTTATAAATCTTGATGCACATTGTTCATTATATACAAGTCTTGTATCATTAATTAACAAATCAATTTGAAAATTTTGATTTTCATTTAATTTTAATTCTTTTATACAAAATCCATCATATAATTGAATATAAGAAACAATAATTCCATATATAAATGCAATTAATGTTAACATAAATGCACACATTCGACTTTCACGATATGATATTGATGAAAATGTTCGTACACGTTGTATTGACATAAACATAAAAATAAGCATTGAAATTTGTGTATATATTGTATTATATGTTAAAACAGATAAAACACCATGTTCAACCATACTTTCATAATGTATAAGTTCAATAAATTTTGATAAAAAAATATTAAACCAACAAGATTTTGATGCATCAAATATTAACATTTTAGCAACATGTGATATAAATAATAATAAGCAATCAATAAAAAATAAAGCAATAAAATAAACACTAATTGAACGTGTACGAAAACGACGACGAAGAAAAACTATTATACATATAATATTACCAAAAAATCCACATATAAATATAGGAGCAAGAACATTACATAGTACACATGGATCAATACTTTCTCTAGTTAAAATCATTGTATAATATTGATCTAAAAAGAAAAGATTTATTTTATATTTACTATGTATTATAACAACATAACATATACATTTTATGCCACATGAGATATACTAACAAAAAAAAAGGTTCTATGTTATCTTAATATCTGAATCAATTCAGAAGAGAAAATATCATCAGGAAAACTTACAGGAATTTTCTTTTTTTTTCTGTCTTTTCTTTCGTTAGATATTTGTGTTGAATGAATGACAGATATGTAAGAAAAAAGGATAAATACTAAGTGACTGAGTGTAATGAAAAGCTAATTTGATGGCATAAACAACACAAACAGGTGTCTTTTGATATATTACTATGCACTAATGTCTATTTACACTAAATAGAAAAAGTAAAAAAAAAGAGAAGAAGAAGTTAAAAAAAACCTAAGGAGGAGGAGAAAAAGAGGAAGACGAAGAGAAAGAAAAAGAGAATAATAATGAAAATGATTAGAAACATCTAGACAAGGCAATCAGTAGAGACATACAAAAACAAATTGGAATGAATAGTCAAACATCAGAGTTTATTGTTCACTTATTAATCGATGAATAATCAAATAAAGCATTTAAACCCACTTAGCTAAGTTAATTCAAAATAATCGTGTCGGAAATCTAAGATAAGAAAACATCTTTTTTTTTCTTCTTTTTTTTTCTTCTTCTCTCTTTGCGCTTTATCTTATAAGCATAAGTAGTGTCAGAATAGCAGACGAACATAGCGATATGATTGACATTTCTAGGGTGTAGATTGTTTTCGTTGATTCATCGACATGATAATTGCTGCAACCAAGTTACGATAATGTGCCAATTTTTGAAAGAAAAATAAATAGAACAAGAGGAAGAATCAGTGTCAATCATATCGCTTTTGTTTCTTCTAGATGAAAAAAAAACCGAATACAGTATAGACTATAAACATGAAACTAGAATAAGACCATATGATGCGTCTACATTCATTAGACAAAAGAGGTTTCATACTTCAGTATGTTAATTGGTAACATTAGATAATCATATTTATTTACATAAGAGTAATTCTCTTACTATAATATGATTATAATTTGAAAAAGAAAAACTTAGATGAATTTATGATCTTTCGTTTTAGTAATATATAAGCAAAAAAAATCATAATAATAAGTTAAAACTGCTGTTGTTGTTGTTGTTGTTG